TGGTCTGCAGCAGGGTTGTCGTCATTCTTCCACCGTGGGCTGGATATAATGATAGAAACTGTCTGAGACATCAAGGAAAGACAGAACCTCCCTGACAGAATCTCAACGATAACTTCACGGATGGAATGATGTACTGCAGGACTGTTGCATTCAAGTTAATATGAAGGTGCAACAAAACAAAGTGAATGTGCTTCGCTGCTGAAAGAAAAATCATTCCAGGGTTTCCTTTTTTATCTAGTCTTGTTTGATCGCCAAGCGTCAAGTATTTGTGCTGGCCCATCTGTGGCAGCACAAACACATGCACCATCACAGAGGTTTCTTTTGCCAAGTTTTCATTAATAATTGAACGGACAACAATTGCATGAGAGCTCCAAACTCACAAAGACCAGAAAGACTTTCTGTACAATACATACAACATTTTGTGAATTTATATAATGACTGTGAAACACTTGAATGTTGTATGTTGAGTTTTGGTCTTAACTTTGATACATGAAGAAACATCCGTTTAATGCACAATTTGGGCAATATCCTAAGTTTCTGTAACATTCAACCTCAGAGGTTTTCAGACAACAGAACCCAAGAGAAAGACATAACTTTTCTATGATTTGATCATTTATTTTCTTTTTTTCCACCTGTCATTTCACTTGTGCCACAGTAAAAGAAGGCCCCATTTTCAAACAGGTCCCTGTCCTTGTCATGAAGAGCATCATCCGCTCGAGAAAATCTGCATCCCTCTGACCTTGAAAACTGCTCACTGAAACGCGACACCAGTCAAGTCCAGTAAGAACACTGCAGTGGACAACAAGCCAGCCTGTGACAGTCTCTGTCATACTTTATTCTCCCCAACTACTTATGGCCCGTTCCTTCTAAGAACATTCACTAGATCCTTTCCATGGTATTCTTACATGAACCCTGTTCTTTTGGCCTGCTGAGATATTTATCACCATATTTAAACATGTTATTTGTTTATGCATTTTCAACCCTGTTTGGCACCAGATGAATGGAGTTTTCAAAATATTTCAATATTTATATGCATCACCTATTATTTGTATACCTCACTGTGAGGATAGTGTTCTTTGGGTCAAGTGGCTCTCCTGTGCTTCTAACAAAGGCAACCCCCTATTGTGTGGATTGCAGACTTCAGAATATCAGTTGTCTTTTAGTTTAGTTTCAGTTGTCATTTAGATCTTTTTGGTGACGTTGTACACCCTTTATCAACAAATGCTTTTCTTTAGATCCAATCCAAGCACTTTTATTTTTTGCCATTTTGCTTTCTCAGCTGACACATCTCCTTAAACTAGGTTTTTGCATTGTAAGAAAAGCTTTAAGATAAATACCACTTAAATCTAAACGTTCCGGTAATATATCCGTATTTTAACAAAGGCGTTTGGTTGTGATATGGTTCAGTATTTATCTTTTTGACAAGCTAATGATAATGACCTCAGCAGTGTAAATGACAAAACATGCAACCATACTTTGCATACGTTAGAATAAGTTAGTTACATAAGAGCACAGGCAGCAGTGTTTTCAGGGCCTTGACTGGTTGATACTCAGTAATTCAAACCAAAATAGAGACATCACAATGTGTAATAACCGTCATGTTCTTAAGTCGCTTCCGTTAGCGAACTTAAGAGCTTCAGCCTTTCGCCTTACTCGGTTCATCTGAACAGTTGATATTTGGCTGCGACATTTACATGTAAAAAAGAACTCCAGATAAGTCTAAATGACTATTTACTCACCGTTTCACTCTCGTATTGTCACAGAAAAGATACGCCGTTATTCAGTTTTTATTCCGTCATAAAGTCTTACAGCTGCCGCACTATCTCGAATGACTATGCTCGTGTTTTTGCCTCAGCTGGCTCACCACATGACCACGCCTATTCATGCTACGTAATACGCATACACCAGGAACGTCATCACGCATAACTCTGTCGTTTTGTCAAAGCCGGAAAAAGTTATCATAACAATATCAAACACCTATTTCTACGTATTATATATATATATACCGTATATATATACGGTATATATATATAATACGTAGAAATAGGTGTTTGATATTGTTATGATAACTTTTTCCGGCTTTGACAAAACGACAGAGTTATGCGTGATGACGTTCCTGGTGTATGCGTATTACGTAGCATGAATAGGCGTGGTCATGTGGTGAGCCAGCTGAGGCAAAAAATATATATATATATATATATTGTTATGGAAAAAAACATATAAAAATATGAAATAATGAATAATTAAATTCAATAATTCTCAAAAAAGCTAGATAAAAATACATAATGTACACACAGACAGAAGGCCAAAGGCCACAAAATGACTAAGGTTTAAAAAACGGGGTAATGCTGAATTTGGACTGTGTAAGATCTAGTGATTTAGAACCATGATCCAAAGACCAAAAGGTAAATGCTTATCAAAATGTTACACAGAAGTGAACCGTAGATTGGGGTCACGGTCATAAGACCCTTCGATCTCTAGGGGCATCCGCTGTGTGGGCTCAACACTTGCACTTTATAAAACCTGCATTGTAAAAAATTACAAGTTTATTAATAAATGCCTTTGTATGCAGACAAGCTTGGTTTAATTTTTCTCTATAAAACATTTCTGAAAATGCACAGAATTCAGAATAATCAACTTTTTTATGACTTAGCCTTGGACAACGCCAAAACCCATTGTTCTGTCACCATCATGTGGTAATTATGTGATACTGCAGGTTTTAACAAAAGTTAAAGAAAACGTCCACCATAAACTTAGTTGCAATCACAATGTAATATTAAGAAAAAATCATACTGTAACAAAACAATAGGCTAACAATTGGCTTTTGATCCATTCACATAAGGGCAACAACACTATCCAACTTTTCCCTCCACGTTTCAGTGACTCCACCCTGTAGGCAAGGCTGGTGTGACGAGCAGGTTCTGCAGCTCAGTAAAACCAGATTTGTGTTGTCATTCAGGTCAAATCATGATAAGACTGTTTTACAAGGAGGTTCTTTTTTTGTTTTATCTTGTCAGACAAAACTTCATCATGTTTTGTTCTTCTTTTTTTCAATTAACACATGGATTGAATTGAATCCTATGATTCAATTCATTGCAATCATAGAATATAATAAATTATTCTGTACATGTCATAGCTCATGCTGGAAATACCTGAAGATTATATGGACATCTGAAAATGGGGAGCTTACTTCAACCTCAAATCAAGGCCTTGAGAGGATTATTTTGCATACTTTTTGTTTTGTTGCTCTGCTGCTTTGGAGGAAAATGTGAGTTACAGGAATCAAAACCTTTAGAACCGGTTGATTCTTCCACTGTCAAACCTTTTCAAAATCACAATGACGAACCTCAAGCCTTCCCTGACATGGAGAGGGAAAACCTACCAGTTTTCACCATGGACTACCCTCGAATTCAGGTTCCATTTGAATTTACTTTATGGGTCCTTCTGGCCTCCTTTGCCAAAATTGGTAGGTATGAGCCTGAATGAAATTTAGGTTTGGATATCATCAAATAAGAATTAAAACCTTTTTTTTACTATGGTTTTCTCTTTAGGTTTTCACATTTACCACAAAATCACCATCTGGATCCCAGAGTCCTGCCTGCTGATTGCTATTGGCCTTATTGTTGGTGCCATCATGCATTCAGTCAAAGAGGAACCCCCTGCTGTGCTCAACTCACATGTCTTCTTCCTGTACATGCTCCCACCCATTGTCCTCGATAACGGCTACTTCATGCCCACACGGCCGTTCTTTGAAAATATTGGCACAGTGCTTTGGTACTCTGTGGTGGGCACACTGTGGAACAGTATAGGAATTGGGCTTTCTCTTTTTGCCATTTGCCAGTTTGAGGTGTTTGGACTTCAAGATATCAACCTGCAGGTCAGTGAAAGATGTTTAAGACTCTAGTATGATCAAAAAACTAAAAAATATATGTGTTAATAAAGAGCACTCCTTTTAACTAAAATAAAAAATAAAAATTGAAACTACATATAGGGCACACTTTTAAGAACAATATACCAAAGCAGTATAATTAAACTCCATTTGAAAAACATTTACCAGCCCCTTTAAATTATATTAAAATTGTAATGAGTAAAAGTTATTTTACTCCCACACGAAACTACACCTTTTTCTGGGGTTTTCCAGTGTGTATTTACCCTCAGCATAGTACAGTACATACCAAACAAACAAACAAACAAACAAAGCATCCCTGCCCTAGTGCCCAAAACTAACAAAGTGGCCTGGAGAAACAATTATATGTGTACCAATATTCACTGTTTCTGTTTTGGAGAACAATAACAAAACAGTGAAATATATTTGGCCCAAATAACTGACTAAATTTGAGGACTTTTAGGCCTCATTCAGATCATTTATTAACTAGCTTATGAGTCATGACACAATAGACAATAATTGAAGGCATATCTGCACCATTTCCCATGCTATATATATATATATATTTATATGCCCTGGTCTCATCTTGTCTATGTTACAGGAGAATTTGCTGTTTGCCTCCATCATCTCGGCTGTGGACCCTGTAGCTGCCTTAAATGTGTTTGAGGACATTAAAATTAACGAGCAAATATATATTGTCATATTTGGAGAAGGACTCTTTAATGATGCTGTCACTGTGGTGAGTAGAAGGACGTGTGTGTCTGTGTGTGATGTGTGTGTAGATTTGGCTAACTGAACTTAATACATCTAATGCAAATGGTGTCCATTTAAATGTGTCTAAAGAGTCATTAGAAAATGAACCACAAAAATATATTTTCATTTTATTGGAATTTAATTATCGTTAAGAGTTCCAGAGACGACTAAAATACATTTCGTTTTTTACTGCAGATTTGACATTCAAATCTTAAAATCTGAGAATTCCCAATGTGGAACATTAAGCTGTGCAAAATGTTTTGAGACTGCCTGGCGGGAAGAGGTCTGGGTGACGTTTACTAATGCTGTATAATTTTCCACAGTTGAATAGGCTTATACATTACTAATGCTCAGAATGTAGCATGGATGTCTGCCATATTGCTGACAAAACCCCTCAGAAGTTGTTGTTGTGTGTGTGTGTGTGTCTTGCGCCTGTGCACCTGCGGTTTCCCCTCAGGGCAGTCAGGCCAGTTCCTTGTTGTCAAATGGGAAAGGCAGTTGCAGCAGTAACTGAACTGCTTTGACTGAGTTTCAGCTGAGAGTTTCATTGAATACTTCCTGACTCTGTTGTGTGTAAAACATGATATTAATGCCTGCTGGCTTTCAGACTTGGTAATGTAGTTGTGTTGATGTTTTTGAGTGGAATCAAAACCTTGACATTTTTCTTTAATGAAGTGATATTCAGACTGTGAGTGAGAAAACATAGTTCCAAATTTAAGAAAACATTTTCTGCATTGGCATTGTTTAAAATATTAAGTTATATATAACATATATAAGTATAACTGATGCTCTATAAAGAAAAAGAACTGTATTTTAGGTTTAGTGTTGAAATGTAGCAGATATCATTGAAAACAGATTTGTTTATTTAAGTGCTCAATGTGCAGTTTAAACATTTCTGGACCACCTCATCTCCACAGGCACTTTACAGCATGTTTGTCTTCTTCGCTGACATGACTGTTGTTGAATCGACGGACGTGTTCCTGGGAATCGCCCGGTTCTTTGTTGTGGGCATCGGCGGCATCCTCTTTGGCGTCTTGTTTGGATTCGCCGCTGCCTTCACCACACGTTTTACCCACAACGTCCGTCAGATTGAGCCCCTCTTCGTCTTCATGTACAGTTACTTGGCATACCTGGTGGCGGAGCTGTTTGGCCTCTCCAGTGTTTTGGGTGTAGTTAGCTCCAGGCACTAATCACTAATCACACTCGCACATAAACAGATGAATATCTTTGTGTATGTCTTTCTTTAACTCCTGCAAGTATATCAGGGTTGTGTTCAATTAAACAGGCCTTCGTTTTACACTGTTTTACACATTTTGAGCAAATTGAAAAAAGAAGATTGTTAGAATTCATTACATACAATATATTTTTAGTGACATTTTTTAATTTGGTGGTGCACCTTGGGATTTTTCTAAAGTAAAATATGGGCTGTAGCTTAAAAAATGTTTGGGAATCACTGCAATAGACAGGTACTTAAAAGTAGAGCTGGGTACATGCGGAATGGCAGCAGCAGTTGCAGTATGTCATGAACATTCTTATTCTTGTTAGTCACATTCCTGGTCTGACGTTTGTGTAACATGTACAAACTCGCTCATCCACCCACAGACTGTGGTGTGAGTTCACAATGATAATGTGTGCAAGGTGCAGCGCAGTTCGTGCAGCACAGCAGACAGAAAGACACAATGAAAAAGCAAGAGCACGGTCCATAAAAGCCTCATGAATAATGTTCCTTTAAAAATTCAAATCAATATGGTTCATTATAGCTTTGCCATTTTGCGATAACTCAGTCTCACACTTGTGTGGTTGGCTCGGCCTGCAGCATCATAACATGTGCCATCACCATGAAGTACTACGTGGAGGAGAACGTGTCTCAGAGATCCTGCACCACCATCCGGCATGTTGTGAAGATGCTGGCCACCATCACTGAGACCCTCATCTTCTTCTTCCTGGGTGTGGTGACCATTACCACTGACCATGAGTGGAACTGGGCCTACATCGTGTTCACGCTGGTGTTTGCTTTCATCTGGAGAGGCCTCGGTTAGTGCCTCAGCTACTCAGAGATATTAAAACTAGGGATGTCCGATAATATTGGTGTATCTGTTTGGATGGTTATCATTTTTTTCCTCCGATAACGAAAACCCAATGACGCAATGTCTGGGTTTCACCAAATTATGTGTGCCCTAAAAATAGCTTTGGGGAAAAATGGCTGTATATGAAGGTGAAAGCCCCTAGATGGCAGCATTGCAGATTATTTTATTAATCTATTTTAATAATCAGGGGATTGCATGTTGGTGACAGCAACTCATATAGTTGTTTGTACAGATAAATAAATTAATATTACCAGGCCATTAATAGTATTTCAATTTGGCGGTGGGCAGCTATATAACGGTATCTGTTGATATCGGCAGTGTTTGGACAATATCGGCAACAAGTTATTATCGGACATCCCTAAGTAAAACCAAACTCTGTGGTTAATGTTATTACAGAATGAACTACATCAATTTGGCCCACATGTCTTTCTGTTCTGTAGGTATACTGGTGCTGTCCCAGATCGTCAACCCCTTCAAAACCATCCCGTTTACTTTCAAAGACCAGTTTGGACTTGCCTATGGAGGTCTGCGAGGGGCAATTTGCTTTGCCCTGGCCTTTACTTTGCCTGACACCATCAACAGAAAGGATCTGCTTGTAACAGCTTCCATTGCTATTATTATATTCACTGTTTTCCTGCAGGTGAGTGGCCATTTTGGATATTCGTTTTTTATTAAATTATATTATATATTATTTTCTTGATCAGCCCTTTGCTTTGAATGTTGCCATTGTGGGACAAATAACGGACTTCTTATCATCTTATGTTATTTAGCTAACTTGAGGTTCTTCCTTGGCTTTACATTTTTCCCTGTGCCATTTCTTCAACTTGCTTGTCTATATTTGAATTTTTCTGGGCTGTTACTGCTCGAATTTATACAAAAATCTACCCCTGGCTAACATTTAATGGATCTATTGGTCACCCTGTGAGTCTCACTTTTTTTTCACAAATTTTTATAGTCTTCATTCAGAATCATATAGGTCATCTTATGGATGTGTCTTATCTACTTTAAAACTAAATATCATGATAAGAATAGCTTGTTGCTAGGCTAACTTTAGATTGTTCAGCTAGTATCTCCATATTTTTTCTTAATGACATCGTACAGTGGTAATTTCTGGTTACAAACGCTTTAAATGTATTTAATTCTACTGAAAATGACATTCTAGTTTAAGGGTAGAGTTGTAATAATGTTGCATTTTATGACTATTTCAAATAGTTTTGTTGACTTTGAAGTTGTTCCTCACAGGGCATTAGCATCCGTCCCATAGTGGAGTATTTAAATATCAGGAGGACCAACAAAGACCTGAACACCATTAATGTTGAGATCCACACCAGAGTAAGTCTCAGCTGCCGAGAGGCCACATTCAGCTCTCTAGTTTTTGACTTGTGTTTCTAATGCACAGCTTTAACCTTGTGTGTAGACGATGGAGCATGTTATGTCTGGTGTCGAAGACTTGTGTGGACAGTGGAGTCACTATTACTGGAAAGACAAGTAAGGGAATGAATAAATGAATGACAGAGGTTCAGTTTCTGCAAATTGTTTTTTTTTTCAAGTTTGTGGCTTCATTCAGGTTTATGAAGTTCAATGATCGCATTTTGAGACGTATCCTGCTCCGAGACAACAGAGCCGAGTCCAGCATCGTGGCTCTGTACAAGAAACTGGAACTGCAGAACGCGATTGACATCCTGGACATGCCTTTTGGTGATGTCAGTGCAGCGCCATCTATTGTTTCTCTGACGTAAGTTTCACACACAGGTAAAATTTGGCAGCTTTAAGCATGTGAGAATATTTACGAGTCATTAACTCATAAGTAAAAATTAGTTAGGTAGTTATTACGACTTATTATTTTTATTTTCTTCTGCAAAAAATTCAGCGATGAGAAAAAGGAGACATCGAGGCCCAAAAAGAAGTTCCTGGCTGCCGACGTGAGAAAAATGCATGACATCCTGTCAAAGAACATGTACAAGATCCGTCAGAAGGTAACCACTAAACGTCCTATTCTTGCTGTTCTTTAAATATTAATTTTAAAAAACAAGTCCTTTTCTGCAAACATTAGTTACACGTTCATGTGAAAAAACATTTCTGTCATAGACCATGGCTTACACCAATAAGTACAATCTGCCAGACGACAGCAGAACCAGAGAGATCCTTATCCGGCGCCACACCAGCATCAGACGCAGCATACGAGCTCAAAGTTTTCGTGAGAGGGTGAGAGTCTAGTGCGTTAAAATATTGAATGGTTTATTGATGTCCACCTCCACCTGTGTGATCTCATTTCTCTGTCTCTTCCAGCAGGCACAAAATATCAGTCAGGCTCAGAAGTACTACTCCCTTCAGCCTGGTGGCGACCTGGAGTCTGCGTTTGTCTTGAGACGACGGAGTCATGGTGAGTTTTAAAGAATTTGATGTGATATGTGCATTTAAGGTGAAATTACCTGACACATGCTTCTGTGATTAGGTGGCAGTCAATTGGACCGGCTCTCGGATCATCTCCAAGCTTCTGGTGTCTCTCCTCGCTCCTCCTCACGGTCTATGCTTCCCACGAACAGGTTAAACACAATCACGGAGGTTCGGAATGCAGCAGATCAGCCTGTTCCGTCTTTTGCCAAACCACATGCTCCAGAACAGAGGGGTCCTGAAGGTCCCAGCTTCACGGGCAGAGAACCTCCTGTTGCTGCACCAAGGAGACATAGTTCCAACCGTTCAAATGAGGAGGAAGGGGGACAGACAGAACCAGTCCCTCCTCCACAGCTTCCCCCACCTCGTGTCTGGATGCCCGACAACCAGGATACTGGAGAGAATGGGGCTGGAAACCCTCTACTGAGGCAGTCATCACAGGAGTTTGGAGGATCGAAGAGATTCTAATGAACAGAGGAGGACAACAGCACCAGGACCACACACACTTAAATATATAGACAGTATATATAATATATATATATATATATGAATATATAGTACAAGCAAGTGCCTTGCTCATTCAGTGTTTGAAAAAAGTTAATGTCATATATCATATCTGTTGATGTGATTTTCTTATAGATATATATATATAGATAATATAGAAAATATAGAAAACTGAAAAGTTCAGTTTTCTATATTTTTAATACACAATAAACAGTTCTTTCTTTGGGTTGGAAGTGGGAAGTTTTATGGTGTTATCTATTCAAGTTCTTGATGATGTGATGCTGATGTGACCATAGATGAAGAAGTTTTTGTTATTTGTAAAAGAAATGCTAAAATTTAACACTAGACATTTTGACATGTCAACATCTTTTCTCCTATTTTTAAGGGATTTTTTTTTCATTATTCTATAACTTTAATCTACTCGACATACAACTGTCTTCTCATTACCTTACTCCGTCCAACTGTCCACATTTACCTTAGATGTCATTACACAGTAGATGTGAAAACGATGATGTACAGTATGAGGCTGGTCTGAAGTCAAGCCTGAACTAATAAATGAACCAATAGACCATGTTCAGTGCAACATGTTGACAGAAAGGTGCATTAGCAGCTTCATATATACTGGAGAAGAAAACAGCGGAGTGTTGCCTTGGAGATGAAAAATGAACACGTCAAGTTTGACATTTTCTAAAGAGTCGGCCCTTGTTCTTAACTGTGTCATTGTGTAAGAGTGTATCTGCTTACGCGTCCAAACCACTCTCACACACCAACACACATGGACATTTTTCTGTCTGCTGTACTTGTTGCTGACTTTGTTCCAGTGGCCAGCAGAGGCCAATGAGAGAAAATGACCCACATTGAACTTCCAACGTGCCATGTATTTATAGTTTTTACCACGTCAGTGGGACGTTACATGTATGAAATAATAAAAAAAGGTCATTTTTATACACAAAGCAAATGAACCCTACTGTAGTCTGAAGTGCTATCATTATCTTTTTACCCGATTTAGTTACCACTTTGAGATAAGTACTAATTAACTAAGTTGCCAATTAAAGAGGCAGAGGGATGAGTAAAAAAAAATCTCTCATTTTTCAATCGTGCTTCACAAAAAATAATTATATCACATATATAATAACTTGTTCCTGTTCCTGGTCATTTTTATTCAGCACCAATCTGTGGTGCAGTTGAACAGATGGAGGCGACAGTGCCTCTAAAGTGTTGGCTGAAATTAGTAGCAAGTGGGAGTCTGTGAAATAAAGTTCCTCACACAAGTTTCTTTGAAATGGGGAAATATGGAAGAACTATTGTACATTTCTTTATATAATGCCATAAATTGTCTGGTCAAGACTTTTAATTTCATCACATTCCGTGGCCTCATGGTCACTATATTGGTTTAGTGTATTGGCTCTAAGGGCTACAGGTAATTCTACACCATTGTGTTATTTAACATTGTTATTTAATCTGACTCCATGTTCAAAAAACCTGTAATTAAGTCCAGATTCTATAGCTAGTATAATGCAGTTGGTGATTTTTTTTTTTTTTGCTCTTTTTGCTCTCTCAGTGTATTTTTAAATTGATTTGGCAGTTACTGTTGAGAATCAAAGAAACGGCACGAAACAACTGCAAAGAGACGTGACCCCAATAGTACTTGGTAGTTAAAAAAAGGGTTTCATTTGATCATTTTTATTCTTTTTAATTATATAAATAACAAAACCTAATTATGAATATCTATTGAATATCTATATTTAATATTCTCCCATGAGGAAAAACCAAACAAACAAATCAACAATTACACAACTGCTTTGAATGTACCACCATTTAATTAGAGTCGCAAAATAAAGATGCGGAAAATTTCTTTGTAATGTAATATTAATTTTTTTTGCCTTCTAAATTGTGAGTTATTACACTGTGCTACGTGTTTGTCTTCATTAGCGAGAGCTTTTAAAGCATGCACTGAGACTCTAATTAAAGAAGTTCCACTGTGATCAGTTAGTTAATGATTACCACCAACACAGTCTGGGTAACTCCATGGTTACTGTGGCAATATTCACAAATTAACATTTAAGTAATAGGAAATAAAGAGAATTACTGAGATCATGAAGATAAATGTGATTTATAAAAGGAAGGATGAGGTGATTCCAGGATGAACCTCCAGTTTTCAACACAGTCCACTGTTGTTGGAGGTGAACAGAATGAAGACAGAGGCATTTGGTCTAAAACACTGCAAACACTTATTCATTCATTTAATTTGATTAATTTTCAGGACTTTATATAAAATACACTGCAACTTCATTTAATTTTTTCCCCCACTAATTGCCTTTTTTATTTAATTTGATTAATTTTCAGGACTTTATATAAAATACACTGCAACTTCATTTAATTTTTTCCCCCACTAATTGCCTTTTTTGTTTTGCAAAACCAAAACCAAAGATGACCAAAACCAGCACCAAAACCAAAGATGAAAGTCACATTTGCGGCTGCGTGTTCAGGAAACAACAAATAAAACAACAGAAAAAAAGATTAATTAAAATCAAGTCTTTACGAAATTAGACGGCAGTGAACCACTTACGTTTCACTGACATTTTCATAAAAATAAAAATTACATAGCGAATGACATTAAGATCTAGTGCTTCTTTGAAACTCCTCAACCATTTTGGCTTAAATGTCATGTATTATTTAGATAAATTAATGTCTTTAACTTTATTTAAAAAAATACTGTAAAAGAGCTTTTATATATTCCAAAAATGACTGCAATATTAAATAAGAGACTGGAAACTGACAAACATCTGACATTTTCATCCAAAGTCCATAGATCAATGACCTCAGGTTAAAATATGCACACGTTGAATGGAAGCGGAACACGGTGGACTTTAAATTGGATTAGTTGCATGGAAAATAGCCGACCTCATCAAATATGCATCTGGAGACATGCATTTTTAATGGGAAACAACAGTTTACTGTAACACACCATATAATGACAAATGTGGGAGGATGGATGAAGATTTCACTCTGACAGTTACGTATGGACGTGAGGCTCAACTCATGAATGTTTCATGTCCATGTCAGGAGTTGAGTTATGATGCTACGCATTGAGTTTTATTACTTTAGCTATTCAATAATACAAAGAGACCAGTGGCCCCACAAATGTGTCGTTCTTTCATGATTTCCTAAAGAGAAATGGTCCTGTCTGTGTAGGCTCTCAGTCAGTAACTATTTTTTGGACAATAATGGTCTTGTTTTGTTTTGTTTTTTTAAAGTTGGCAAAAAAAATGTATAAAAATAGATTGGATCTGGATAAAATAGATCTAGGGCCAAGATGAATTTGGTTGCAAGCTATTGTTAATAAATATAATTGAAAATAAATTTAATATATATTTTTTTAATATGACAATGCAACAAAATATCTGCAATATAAAACTCATACACATACATTTTAATCCACCAAAAACAATCACAGCCTCCAACGCTGACCTGAATAACAGAAGGGTTACAAATGCTAAACTTTTTTAATCTGTTGCAATTCATTGCAAGGGAATTTAAGATTCCCTTTTTTCAGCTTCCCATTATAAAAAATGAAGACAAACTAAATATTTCAGTATCCTCGCAGTTTGCAAACATCAACTTCTAAAAAAAAATAAAAGTAACACCTTGCATCATACACTCAAGGCTGCGCTGCTGGAGATCAAGCTTTAATGCATAACTCAAAGCAAATACCCACACTACATTTGCCTGGGGCGAATTTGCATTCTGTTGAAGTAACACCTTCATATGTGGGAGGTTTTGGCAAATGTCCTGGATTATGAACTGTCTCTTAGCTGCATATGAATCAGCACATAACTGCAAGGAAGAAAGAGAAGGAAGGAGGGAGTGAGTTTTTTCCTACAAGAGACAAATATACAAGAGCGGCTGCAGATTCAGTCGGAGTTGGTCAAGCAGGAGACTTTCACGTCTGAGCAGTGACAGCAAGAGCTGGGAGTTGGATTTTTGACACCTCCGGAATAAAGGAGCATTCGGAGAAAGTGAGGAGCAAAAATGAATCAAACGGCGTCCGTGTCTCATCAGATCGAGTGTCAGCCAGTGAAAGACTCAAAGGTAGGATGAGGTTGTTTTTTATTTTTTGCAGGTTGGTTGGTGGTTGGAGAGTGTTATTTGATTTACTGTATTTACTGTAACTAAATCAATGTACCTGTATATGGTTGGTGTTTGTACAGCTACAACAATGCACAGCTCAACAACATCATGTCCAATATTTGTTTCTATGAACTGTTTTCTCAGCTCAATTACTGAACAGTTCCACATCAGTTAATGGAGATTTGCTTCTTGGGAGTTATTTTTGATCAAACGTCTGCTCCTTGAAAATGTTGGAAATGTCAGGCAGCATGAGTTGTTTTTGTTGAGAAGGAGCTGCTGCTGTATATTTGGAAAAAACAAGAACAAAAAAAACCAAAAAAAAAAAACAGAACTTGTCCATGACAAGAGTTGCTACTTGACAGTTATTATCTCAGCAGATTAATCAGGCTGTTTTTTTTCCCAGTTGGTCCAAATGTTAATTGGTTTGTTGAAAACACAGCCAAATGTTTTGGTTCTGTTCACAATCACAAACAAATGAGATCAACCTACTGACCGTTTAACATCCCTGTGATTTTTTGACTTTTTTCAAAACCTGGATCAGTAACAGTACTGATCAAAGTGGAGGCGATGTCATGTGTTTTCTTCAGGTTTTAGAGTATCAGCATCAAGTGCAATAAAAAACTATGGATTTTAAGAGCTTTGTCGTCGAGCACAGTTTAATGCAAAGACTTTTTTTTCCCGGTGAGTTAGAGCTGAGGTATAATCCCCCACAATCCTGCACTGCTGTCGCTCTCAGAGCAGCAGGAGTGTAGTCAAATGGCAGCAGGTAGAGCTCTGATAAGAGCTGAAGAAGTGTTTCCCTCTAATATGTGAGATCTGTGGAGTGGAACTGTCCATGGTACCACATCTCCCTTTATGACGTGAGCAGTAACCACTGATGTACTACAAAAGAACAACCATTAAGCCCGGCTGCGGTTACCCTCTGTCACTTCATTTCCTTTTTGTTTTTTCCCCCCGTAGCTGCAGCTCAGACATGCAGCCTAGTGTGGCTTCAGGTTTTAGCTGTTTCATACATACTGTAAGCTGACACCTCCTGAGATGCAGCATTAATATTCTGCTCATGCAAAAGAAGAGAGAACTGGGTGGTTTTTTTTTGTTTGTTTGTATGTTTGCATTCAATCAATCAGCCTACATTTGTGCCCCTGAGTGTGGAAGCACTGAGCTACGACATGATGTAGGTACAAAGGTGATGATTGGCTGCATTGTCTTCAAGTGTCGGTTGATATTTTCTGTCTTCTTTTCTGTGCGCTTTCTAACACTTGTCCAATTAGGAGTCACAGGAAGAGCTGAAATCAACCCCGGCCAATCACAGGGCAACATGAAGTGACAATCACTCACATATGAAAGAAAGGGCTGTGACACATTCACAGAGCCCATGCAGACAATAGAAACAATGAAAATTACAATATATATATATATATATATATATATGAAACCTAATGTGATATGCAGAGGCATCATATGAAGTTGAAATGCACATGTAAAGAAAAAAATGAATGTTTGTATAAACAATATTAATAATGTAAAAAGTAGTTGGGGATGGAAAAGGCAAAGATGGACAAAAACGCCAAAGAACATATATGTTATGAATAAAAGAGCAGAAAGAGGCAGAAAAACCAAATAGGCAAATGCGTGAAAAGGTACAAAGACAGAAATGACAGGTTGTGAAAAAGGGAATTTGACGTCTCTGAATGTGTTGTCACCCCCACCTGTTGCCATGGAGGTGCACATACATGGTGGTGTTAGTGAAGAAGAAGTAGCTCATTAGCATGTGAGCGTAGGAAGAAGGTGAGAAAAACCTCTCCGCTCGTCTTCATCACTGCACTAAAGATAAACTCGTCATTAGCATGTGGCCCTTTGGCAAGAATGGGCCTCTAAGGATAGTGTCAAGCCTCCTACTCAGTTAACACATCCTACAGTAGACAACATAAACATACTGCAGATGTGTGGAGCAACTGAAACACAAGCGCTGTAATTTTATGTTCTCCACCGTAGAAAAAAAGTTGGTGTCAGGACCCCAGGGGTACAAAGTCATTGTAGAAATTGGAGGTGTGTCCCCGGAGTTCCCAGGGTTTCGTCTCAGTCTCTGTCCAAGTCAGTTAAAAAATAATATCGTGTTCACTTGAATTCAAATCTGACTTTAAGTCATTGTAAAAAAATAAGGTTGAGCCCCTAGTGTTAGGGTTGGCCAACGAGGCTACAACTTTTACTGTGTTACTGGAAAGAGCCACATGATATACGTGGGGACACGTGAACTGCCGCATCCCTTTCAAAATGAACTCTCACTTTGCTACAAATGCCCTGTCTTCATCTTCATATGCCTACCCTAGGGTTTCAAACCAAAAACCAAGTCAGAGTAAAAAAAAAAAACAACCAAAAAAAAACCCCAAAAAAAAAACAAGTCCAAATGAGTCCCTGGTGTCATAGTCCAAGTCACTGTTTAAATGAAACTGAATTTATCTAGAATTCAAGTCAGATTCAGATTCAAGTCATTGTTGCAAATTATGGTCAAGTTCATCAAAAACCAAATAACAGTAAGACAGAAAAAAAAAGAAAAAGAAAAAGACTAGAGCAGAGTCACCTCGGCTTTAAGTCAAAATCCAGGTCACTGTGGAAAAGTCAAAGTCAAAGTTCCGTGTGATTCTAGTCAGAGTTAGCGCCATTGAACAGTAGAAAAAATAAGTTCAGTCCCCATGGTCTCAAATCAAAGTCCAAGACACTATTGAAAATTAAAATCCTCATAATCTAAGTAGAACTCTGAGTCACTTTAAACGATCACCATTATCTCAGGTCCGTTTTAATTTCATTAATGAAATTAATAATGGAAAAACATGGATACGTGTCCTACTTATACCAAACTTCATTTGACTCCCTGATGGTGATCAGGCTGTAGGTGATGTCAGTATTGATCAGAATTGCCACCACTGTTGTTGGGTCTCTGACACACAGCATCTCTTAAGCCTTAAGAGATGCTTATAATTAATTTTGATTAATTAATTCATATTAATTTTTAATAATTAATTAATTCAATATTGGATTGAACTACCATTGTGGCCTTAAGACTTAAGGCCAAGGCAAACAAATATCCAGTTTCGGGTGCTGCGGTAAAAATAATTAATTTATAATCCAATTACAGGGTTTGGCTTTTCTCTCCGTTTTTCTTTCTTTTTGTCCCCCTTTCATCTCCCCCTTTCCTCTCCTTCTCCTCTTCCTCTTATTTCATTTCCTCTTGTTTTTATAATTTCTAGGGATAAATAAACACTGAAGCCACTGTCTAAAAGAAGTACGAGTACAAATCCATTCTTTGGCCACTAGGGAGCAGCCTTAGACCGAATTATTTTTTACATACAATATTTATTGTAAAAACCAGACTTGAAAAGGTCTTGTCATTGATGAATAAAGCACCAGCCAATGATTTTTCTAATCCACTGAATGTTATCTCTTATTCACTGCAGTAACGAAATAAAATGTCTCCATTTATTCCTCAATTATTATTAATACTGTGTCTTTGGGTGATAACACAAATAGCAGCAACAGATAAAATATCTTGTTTTTAGGTTTTAGGTGTTTATTAAAAATCCCATTTCTATACACAACGGGTTTATTCAATAATTCTTTCTGTGTTTTTCACTCTTGTTGTTGTTTTCATCCCTGTGTTTCTCGATGTTGTTTGTTGTCTCCCATTTGCTTTTGCTTTCATCTGTGTTTTTCTGCTGCTGATGTGTTTCAGCTTTTCCTCTTATTCCTGCCTTCGTTATGTGTTTTTGTGTTCCCACTCTCATCAACTGGAATATTGTTACACAGACAGAGTTTCCATTTACTAAGGAAATGGCAACAAGGAAAACAAACCATGCATA